TTTATCTTCTTAATCTAAGTGGTTGTATGTTGGAACATGGTGGCTTTGTCTGCATGTTAAATGCCAACATTCTGTTGCAATAATTGTTATAAGGTTAAAGAAAATGATTTTCATTATTAAAAACCTATAGAGTATAGTTTAGCAAAGGAAAGTGATATATCTAATGCTTTCTGTGGCATAAATTGTTCTCCTTTATTGGTTCACACATAATAAGAACCTATAGAAATCTATAGGTAGCTACTGTAAAGTTGTTTCTCCTAGTTTTCAAAGCATTAGATATATATAGCACCTTTAATGCTTCCACATGTTCTGTGCTTAGCTTTGTCTTTAATGTTCTGCTTGGTTTTTCATAGAAAAGAATTCTGTGGTTTGGTGTTTTTTGCTTGATTTTTATTAGCTAGAGAGCCATAAGTGAGTATTTTATTATTGAACTGACAACAACAAAGTATTTACTAGTGTGTCCCCAGTGATTATGCATGCATAATTCGCTCACCATGAACTTTTGTTAAAATTTTGTAATGATAGTGCATCTAATAGGTGTGTCACTGTATCTACTTGGCAACCTGGATGATGTTAGTTGTTTGTATTAATGTGATATAATTTTGTTCAGGTTGCAAGCCAAGAGACTTTTGGAACACTGGGTGCTATTGTAAGGAGCCTAAGTGGCAACCGACAAGTTGGTTTTCTCACAAACCGTCATGTTGCTGTTGACTTGGATTACCCAAATCAGAAGATGTTTCACCCTTTGCCTCCTACACTTGGTCCTGGCATATATCTTGGTGCAGTGGAGAGAGCTACTTCATTCATCACCGATGATCTATGGTATGGCATTTTTGCTGGAATAAATCCAGGTAAGAAAGCTCCAACTACGCATTTAAATTAATATGAGATTACCAACTGAAACAAGAACTAAGATACTTCTCTTACTATTAATGATCATTTCATCATCTGCAGCCCTTCATTTGTTATTTTCTACTGTTTGCAAATTGTATCATACCGTGCAAAGTTGAAATAAAATCATGCTGAAGTGGTCTAAAGCTGTAATTGTTTGGACTGACTTGAATTGGGTGCATCATTGTAGCCAACTGTTTTAGCATAGATATTCCACCATTCTTAAATTTAATGAATCTATCTTCATTAGATCTCTGAAGTTGTGCATGATGGTTGGCCATTATGCTTCATGGATGCCATGTGGCATCTAATATATTTATGACATTAATTATGTTTTGGAGAAATTTTATTGGAGATTATTCATTGAATTTCATATGTTATTGTTACCATTCATAAGCAGGTTTTGAAAATAGAATTATTATGCTTTGGAAGTGATTGTAACCGCTGTTCGTATTATTTGCTGTCATTTTGTATTCTTGGCAAATCTTATCTACATCCCTCAACATATTTGCAGAATAGGTGTTACAGTTTATTAGAAATCAATTTAACAGCTCTCAATTAAGGTTTCATTGGTTTTTCTACCAGGCACAAAAGGAAAAGCTTCAACTTGATCTTTTGAATCAGAGTTATTCTTGAGTTTATTTTCCTAGTATTATTTTTATTGCTAATGGAATTATACTTTATCTATGTAATTTATTACGGGTTAGAAGGCTATTATCTAGATTAAGTAGGAACTTTTTTTTTTTAAATAAAAAAATTCAATTCTTGCTTCTTTACCAATATTCCACATGGAGCTTGAATGTTATCATTATTTTTTATTTAATTTTCGATTCATATACTTTTAGTGGTGTAATAAATAACCTTTTGCATTCTTGCTGCCACATATAAACCTAACAGTTATATGTCCTTACAGAGACGTTTGTGAGAGCAGATGGAGCGTTCATCCCTTTTGCTGATGATTTCGACATGGCTACGGTTACTACTTCTGTCAAAGGTGTGGGACAGATCGGTGATGTCAAAGTAATAGATTTGCAGTCTCCAGTCAGTAGCCTTATTGGAAAGCAAGTGATGAAGGTTGGAAGAAGTTCAGGCTTGACAACAGGAACAGTGTTGGCCTATGCCCTTGAGTACAATGACGAGAAAGGCATTTGCTTCCTAACTGATTTTCTTGTTGTGGGTGAGAATCAACAGACATTTGACCTTGAAGGAGATAGTGGAAGCCTCATCATTATGAAGGGTGAGAATGGTGAGAAGCTGCAGCCTATAGGGATTATATGGGGAGGAACAGCTAACCGGGGCCGACTTAAGTTAAAAGTTGGCCAACCCCCAGAGAATTGGACCAGTGGGGTAGATCTTGGGAAACTCCTGAGCCTCCTTGAGCTTGATCTCATCACAACCGATGAAGGGCTTAAAGGTTTGTTCTCTCTTCTATTTTTTTTTAAAGGTTTATTCTTTCTAGAAGGCCTCTTTGCTGGAGCTTTGTGTGTTATTGCATCTTTTTTTCCCCTTCCAGTATTATATTTAATATATCTTATATGTTTTCTTCATCATCGTTATCAACACCATCATGATTTCTTCTTTACAATTTTGATCATGAAATCATATTTTAACAAAAAAAGGGGGGGAAAAACACAGATATTGATCTTTAAACAACATTATCATTTACTCTCAAGGGGGGTCACCATGGTGACTGCAGTGGCACAAATGTTGAAACCATAAATGATAAGGCATTAAACACGATTCCATAGATGATTTTGGATAAAACAGTTAATGTAGTTTTGTTCTTTTTGGTGGTGAATGAATGAATAAGGACTTGACAACATGACCTAATAGTAACATGAGGTGGCTATTGTTATTTACAGTGGCTGTGCAGGAGCAAAGAGCAGCTTCAGCAACAGCAATTGGTTCTACCGTAGGGGACTCCTCAACCCCTGATGGGATTCTTCCAAAAGACAAATCCGAAGACAAATTTGAGTCACTAGGTCTTCAGATTCAACATATCCCATTGGATATTGAGCGATGCAGTCCAGGTCAGAATTCGTTGCTTGTCGAAACTGAGTTTCATTTGGAAGACAGTGTGAAAACTGGTCCAAGTGTTGAGCATCAGTTTATTCCAAGTTGTATTGGGCGTTCTCCCTTGCATCAAAAGAACTTATCAGATAAAGCAGTATCCGAGAATCTTGCATCTCTAAGGAACGGTTGCGATGAAGATTTATGTGTTTCATTGCATCTAGGTGACAATGAAGCCAAGAGACGGCGTTCGGATGCATCACCGAGCACAGGTGAGACCAAATGAAGGGCTTGAGCAGGGTGAATTAAAACTCTTTTTATCTTTTTCATGGATGCTATTTGGAACTTTTAACCCCTGTATTTTATCTTGTGTTTTTAATACCAAATCAAACAAAGGGCTAATAACTGAGCAGTGCATACCTGCTCCACCCCTTTAGGTGGATGAGCTTTTTTCTTCGCTGTTTCAATACTGATTTGTTCGGAAATAGTTTAGGATTTAAGGCGAAGGGTTTGAAAGAAAAGAAAAAAAGTCAACCGATGGTCTATCCTAAGTCGAAGAAGTTAAATTATGATTCACTAGATCTTTAGCAACTATCTGAATAGGAAAGGAAAAAGAATTAAGCAAGAAAGAAAGTTTATTTGATCTTCTAACTGAGCTGGTAAATATATTTTTAAATAATTGAAATGAATTCACTGCTCCAAATAGAATTCTCTTAATTCAAGTTTGATGAAATTTAGAATTTATTGTTTTAATTTTATGTGTTCATTTTTTAATTATTTTTTAATAAAATTTGTATTTCTCTTAATTAAAATAAATGTGAATTTGTAAATAAATTAAATTTTATTGGTTCTAATATAACCTAATTTTTTTTTTTTCATTTTAACAAATAATTGTATCTGTAATATATTTCAGTCTCTATAAGATATGAAAATTGTATAAATTACATAGAAATTGCCTCCAATTGTCGGCTATTGCAAACAAATATTACACATAATATAATATTAAATTATATTTATAACGACCCCGAAAATTTAAAAAGAAATGCATATAATAATTTAAGTGCGGAAGTGAAATAAAAGTTAAGGTTAACATTCCTTACACGATAACTCAAAAGTACTAACAAATATCATGGAACAAATTTTCTGAAAGAAATACGAAAAATGGAGAAAAATAAAAGAAACTATAAAGTATTTAGGGTCTACTCGTAGCCTTATTGCGGATCAGACTCAGAGACTGGATCTTCCTGATCTGAAATGATTAAATAAGGGATGAATTACACTAACCCAGTAAAGACATCACAATATATCGCCGTCACAGAAGTAAATGTTGGTAAAAAATAAAAAACAACCAATGAAGTACAAATTTTAAACAAATTCATTTATCAATAATAAAACTATTTACCGTCTACTTACCGCAGTGAGATTTATAAAAACAACTTATGGAAACAATAACATTATGAATATCATGATTTCATATATAATCTACAACATAGCACATATTATACTTTTATATTCAAATAATCAAACAACAATTGTCCTTTTTTATCAGTCTACTAGTATCTATGGGGATTCATAGGGTTGTCCCCGCTACACATGAACCATTTCCATTAACAATCTTAATTCCAGGGCCGTCCCCATACCCCGTCCGGTATGAGCGCCAAGACATTAAACCTCAATACCCTGTCCGGTATGAGGATGAAGCAGGCCGTCCCTATACCCCGTCTGATATGGGTACCAAATGACCAAGTCTTCATACCTCATCTGGTATGAGATAACATTCACGGTAGGGTTCCCTATGAACTCGGACTGTAACGACCCTGGAAATTTAAAATGAAATATGTGTATTAAAAATGTCAAATGCGGAAGTGTAATAAAAATTTTGATTAAACATCCCTTACACTAAAACCAAAAACGTGCTAAAAGTATAAAAGAACAAACTAACTAAAAGAGAAACTCGAAAATAAAAGCTATAAATATGACTACGGAATCTTCAGGCGTCCCTTTCGCCGTCTTCATGCGGAACAAGCTCGGGAACAATGTCTTCCTGATCTGAAATGATTAAATAAGGAATGAGCTACACCAGCCCAGTAAAGACATCACACTATCTCACCGTCACGGAGGTAAAGGTGGGTAGAAAACACAAAAGGACCAATGAAGCATAGTTTACAACAAATTCTTTTATCAATAATAAAAGTCTTTACTATCCACTTATCTCGGTGAAATTCATAAAACAATATACGAAAGCAATAACATTATCATCATCACGAAATCATAGAAACTGTATAACATAATACTTATAACGCCTTTTGCATTTCAATCATTACACAACATATTTTTCCTTATTTACCAGCCTACTAGTATCCATGGGGATCCATAGGGGTCCCGCTACCCGTGAACCCTTAACACTTGTAATCAGATTCCAGGGTCGTCCCCATACCCCGTCCGGTATGGGCGCCAAAACTATAAACCTCAATACCCCGTCCGGTATGAGGGTGAAACGGGCCGTCCCCATACCCCGTCCGGTATGGGCGTCAAAACACATAAGATCTCCATACCCCGTCCGGTATAAGAGACCACAATCCCGGTAGGGTTCCATACGGACCCGGTGCGTCCACCATCTCCCAGGATATCTAGTCAGGCTGACCACATTATACAATTATCAATTTTCATAACCTTTCATCCCCCTTTTTCCTCAGTCAGCATCATCAAATCACACACAAACATGCAAACCGGTAGTTCACGCCAACAAGACAATACACAACATCGGGTTCTCAGTCATTCAATCTATAATCAACGAAACAGTGATACATGCACACGAAACTATGAAATAAAAACATCAGACATCATACTGCATTTAAAACTGTAAAATAGAACAAACAACAGCTGACCGACAAATACACCAGACTCGGACTCCATTAGCAACCTCAAACAATTTCACACAGCTATTGATTCATGAAATACCATTTTATCATTTATTGCACTTTAATACCGTGATAGGAAATAGGGTGAGGAATCCTTACTTGTTTCGGGGTCCGAACAAGACTCCACAGTGCGCCTACAGGCTGCCCCTAATTTTCCCTGAATTTTTTTTCCGAGGAACTGAAACGCACTACTAGTACCTGCACATGTCCCAAAAAATCCCAAATTAGACCCAGGGCCCCTTTCGGCCAATATCGCAATTCCGGCACAGTGCTTGCGACGGCGATTCACCTCAGGTTAGCCATTTTCGGCCGTTTTCGGCTGAATTCGGCCACACTTGCATCGGTCCCTGCGATAAAACAACCCTAGGGCCCTCGGGGGGCCAAAAAATTACGAAAAACTGAAGCTTACCGGCGGCGGTGCTCTCGGGTGCGGCGGCTCTCCGGCGAGATTCGTGTTTTGGTGATTCGGCTCCGATCAACCTGTAGAGAAAAGAATGGTGATCACGGTGATATAAAAATTGTATCAAACAGAGGCCGAGAAGGGCCTCATCGGAGGCAAAAGCCGAGGAGGGGCGCGGCAGCGCCGCTGGGTTTCGGTCGTGTTTTTCGGTCGTTTGGCCGAGATTTTGGCTCCAATTTGGCCACAGGGGAACTCAGCGTGGAAAAACGAGCCGGGGGTATGAAATTTACCTCGATCAGTGATCGAAAAACTCCCCGGTGCGGCGGCAGGTGGCGGCGGCCGGCTCCTCCGGCGTCTGGTTCGTCTTCTCCGCCGAGGGCAGGCGGCTAGGGTTTTTGTGGTCAGGTGTGGGGGTTCTATTTATACCCTTTTGCCTTTTGATCACAGCCGTCTGTTTTGATTAAATCTGGGCCGTCCGTGCACGCGGGGACGCATCTGGGTCGTCCGATCGCGCGCACGCGGATCACCCACGTGGCCCGTTCCCCGGTCAACGTGGTCTTGCCACGCGGCAGGTCCTGGTTGGCCAGGGTTGCTGACTGGGCCGCTGACGTGGCCGATGACGTGGCGCTGACGGGGCACAATTTTTTTAAATTGCGTTTTGACCCCCGGTTTCTGATTTTCTTTTCAAAAATACCCCCAGAATCCTAATTTTCACCCCTTTTTCCCAAAATCAATTACAATTAAATTCAAATAATATTTTTACCCAATTTTACAATTATTATTATTTTTATTATTATATTAAATTAAATTAAATTAAACAAAATAAAATAAAATAAATAAAAATAGAATTAATAATAATAATAAAAATAATTTAAAATTTTTTGGGCGTTACACGGACAATCCACCATCTCCTAGGATATCTAGTGAGACTGTCATCTTATCCATTTATCAGATCACATCCCTTTCCTGTTTATCCTTAATCTCCGTTATCAAATTAAACACAATCATATAAATAATGAACATGTACCCGGTAATACAATCATGTCTTAAATCCCAAAATCACACAGTGGTCAAGTAATATAGTAATACATACATTTAAAACCATAGAAGGGACAAACTAAATATTATCATGCATTTAAACTGTAAAATAAATCAACAGGAATCAACAGAGAATAATGTCCGATTTCGGGCCTCATTAGCAATCTGTAATTAATTATGCATAATTATCTAACTTGTACAAAAGACCGTGTTATTATTTATTCAAACTTCATATCTATGACAGAAAATAGGGTGAGGGGTTCTTACTTGATTCGACGCCGAAAACTAGATAGTTACTGTTGCGCCTATGGGCGGTCCTTGGATTTTTTGAATTTTTCTTTGGGAACTGAAACGCGCTTATGGTACCTATAAGTGTCCCAAATAAACTCAAAAATTAGACCAATGGTGTAGCATCCCCGGAAATTTAAAATGGAAATTATATTATAAATATCAAATGCGGAAGCGAAGTCAGAATTTGAATAACATCCCTTACACTAAAACCAAAAACGTGCTCACAAAATATAAAAGATTAAACTACCTAAAGGAGAAACTTGAAAGTAAAAAAAAAACTACGAATGTGACTAGGGAGTCTTTAGGCGTCCCCTTCGTCGTCCTCCTGCGGAACCGGCTCGGGAACGATGTCCTCTTGATCTGAAATGATTAAATAAGGAATGAGCTACACTAGCCCAGTAAAGACATCACGATATCTTACCGTCACGGAGGTAAAGGTGGGTAGAAAACACAAAAAGACCAATTGAGCATAATTTACAACAAAACCTTTTATTAATAATAAAACCTTTACCATCCACTTACCTCGGTGAAATTTATAAAATAATATACGAAAGCAATAACATTATCATAATCTTGGAATCATATAAACAGTAAAACATAACACTTATCACGCCTTTTGTAATTCAATCATTATACAACATATCTTTTCCTCATTTACCAGCCCACTAGTATCCATGGGGGTCCATAGGGGTCCCGCTACCCGTTAACCTTTAACATTCGTCATCAGATTCCAGGGCCGTCCCCATACCCCGTTCGGTATGG